ATTGTGCATAATCAGACGCGCCCTAATAAGACACTGATATCACCGATTTGATACAAAATATGTGTCCGGCTAGTGTGATAGTGTTGTTATTTTTTATTATTTTCTTTAAATTCATACGCCATTTGAAATACGGGTAGTATTATAGTTCCCCCCTCTGGCGGGCGGTCGGGCGGGCGACGGGCGGCATCCAATTTTTGTCCGGAGCATATCTCCTGCACGCATGGAGGAATTATAATGAAACTTTATAGAAATGTTCACCACTATGGTCATTGAAAAACTCTTGTCCGGATCAAAACTTCTACATGCTTAGAGGGATTTCAATTTAACTTGACACAAATGTTTACCATTGTTAGACAGATTTTGTCCAGAGCATATCTCCAACACATATGTAGGGATTCTAATGAAACTTAATACAAATATTTACCACTATAAGAAGCAGTGTCATGCGCAAAACCAGGTCTCTAGGTCAAAGGTCAAGGTCATACATAGAGGTCATTGAAAAATGCTTCTACATGCATAAAGGGATTTCAATAATTCTTGGCACAAATGTTAACCATTTTAAGGCGGAGTGTCGGGTGCAAAATTTAGAACCCTGCAGCCCAGGTCAAGGTCAAACATAGGGGTCAAATTCAGATAAAAGATATGAAAATGTGTATCCGGACCATTAAGTAATCATTTATTGAGGGATTGAAACACAAATGTTCATTATCATAAATCATGTGTGAAACAGGTAATTTATGTTAATACAAGCAAGGTCAAGGTCACTTAATATGATAAAATATAGAAATTTTGTCCAGAGCATATCTTCTCAATGCATGGTGGGATTCAAATGAAACTTTATAGAAATGTTCACCAGTGTGAGAAGCAGTGTCACGTACACGAACCAGGGGGCCGTTTTATCAACGTGTCGTAGTCTACGACAATTTTTTGTCGGTGTCATACGTCTGCGACAATGTCGTACGACCGTTTTATGAAACGTGTCGCAGACGTTGTGTTTCTGCGACGTCGCAGCCTTTGTCGTAGACAAAATTTACGCGAGACACAGTCTAGCCAGTGCGCGCTTTGACGTCACATATGAAATCAAAGTACTAAAAGTATTGATGTAATTTACATGACTATTATCAAACGGATAAATTGACATGATTATTATAAAACGGATAAATATTTTAATGTCATTCAAAGAACATTTTAGTGAGAAATACAGCATATTATATTTTCTGCACTCGATTCACCCCTTAAAATATTATGTCACGCTACGGTTCCACCCTAAATGTCGGGTCTGTACTGAATGCTAAAGGCACATTATGTCTCAGAAGCGAGTTACCTTTTACCAGAGCGAACACGGGTTTTATAACGTTTAATTAACTGTCTCAAAGCATGCAGCCGCTTATGACTTGAAGCGGTGAATGTAAAATTACTAACCAAAAATGTCAACAAAGTTGTATTTGACTTTTAAACAAAATACTAATTTAAAATAACTATCACAACTTAATAAAAAAATTAACATACGCAAAAGACGGTACGACCGATCAGCCACTTTTAGAAATTAAAATAGAAAACTAAAAAATCAAAAGCATTTTTAAGAAACGCCAAAAAGTATGTTAATAGTACTTTAATAGTTAATTAAAAGCTAACTGTCAATTTTTAAATAGCACCGGACTTTCCAAGTATATCGTGTGGCGATAAATCGGAACGTCACGGCTATTATCTATAATAACCTCGGAGTTAATACGGATTGAAAGTAGTTATACCACGTAAGGAACACGCACATTTTTTCAAACTTTGCTGTTTCTCAACTGATTTTAACGAGATAAGGTGCAGAGTACCCGTGACTATACAAGCTACCCACAGTATATAAAAAATTAAAAAAAAAACACAAAAAAAACCTGAATTATTATTGTCGAAAGCATTCGAGTATAGCCATTTTTCATAGTATTTTCCGAGAAGTACGGTACACACTCGAATATAAGAACAAGCGACTAACTGTAACTAGTCCCTTGTCTTTCTCATTGTTTGAAACAAAAACATATAATATACATGTATATTATAGATATACCATTGCCAAGGCATCGAAATAATTAATTGCTGTTTTGGTTTTTTTGTTGTTGTTTATTTTGCTTTTTTAATTGAAACGGAACACGCTGTTTTGCATTCTGTTCCAATTTGTAATCTTAATGAAATATTTCACTTTAAAGTGTCATGTATATTTGTTTGTTAGTGTTTTTTTTCGGAATGATATTAATTATTTATAGGTATTTATACATATATTTCATGTAGTATTCTAAATAATCCCCTACTCCCGGCTTTGTAAATACAGTTCGGATACTATATTTTTTCAAGTCTTAAAAAGAATTGAAATACATAATTATTATATCATGCAGTTTGTGCAGACTTACATTTTTGTTTTGCCTATATTTCTAAAGAAAGTAGTGGTGAATGTGAAAGTATTAAAATTGTTATTGTAGCAAAATTTTGACTTTCATACAAATTACTAAATCATTAACACCGTACTCGATTGGCAAAAATTAACAGAAGCAAACGATAGTTAAGGTTAATGATAATGGAAATAAAAATAAAAAAAGTAAAAATATATATATAAATAAAAAGCTTTAAAAGATAAAAGCATTTCTATGGCTTTATGGGCCTTTATGAAAGAATTTTTGCGCGTTAGAAACAATTGTAGCTGCTTTTTTAAGAAACGCCAAAATTATGTTTAACGTATTAGCTATCATGATAAAACCAATGATTTGTACATATAAATTACTTAAATGACACCCAATGTTTCTAGTATAACGTGTGGCGCACACTTTTACCCATTTTACGAGGAATTCAATACACACAAGATTTCTAACTAGTTCTTTTCATTCTCGTTGTTTGAAATAAATATATATAATTAATCTTATAGATTTACTATTGCTAAAGAATCGAAATAATGAATTGCTGTTTTGACATATTTTCGTAAAGGTATATTAAGCGCACTGCTTTTTAATTGAAACGTAACACGCTGTTTTTTTTATGCCCTTATATAAGCGCTTGACATTAAAAGGAAACAAAAACAATTGAAATATGTTTTCTTTTTATTCTGAAAAAGTAAATTAATAATAATAATGTGCTGAGCATGTATACATGTAAACAGTGATCGCCAGTCTTGACGTCACAGAAACGTCGTACGACAGCCCCAACCCTGTCGTAGAGCTGCGACATTTTCTACGACGTCGTAGGCTACGACAAACGTTCATAAAACGGTTTTAACGTTCTGCGACATGTCTGCGACAAAAAACTAGCCTACGACATGTCGTAGAGCGTTGATAAAACGGCCCCCTGGGAACGCTCTACGACACGTCGTAGGCTAGTTTTTTGCGCAGACATGTCGCAGACCGGGCCGTTTTATTAACGATTGCCGAAGCGTACGACGTCGTAGAAAATGTCGCAACTCTACGACATTGGCAATAGTAAATCTATATTATACATGTTTATTATAGATTTTTGTTTCAAACAACGAGAGAGACATGGGACTAGTATGTCGTTTAAATTGTACTTATCTTCGAGTGTGTACCGTATTCCTCGGACTATACTACGAAAGCTGACTATACTCGATGCTTTCGACAATAATTCAGTTTTTTTTTTTTTTTAGTTTTTATATACCGTGAGTAGCTTGTACAATTACTGGTACTCTGAAGCTTATATCGTTAAAAAATCTCCACACCAATCGCAACTTTTCGGCCCTTTCCGTCAGTCTTCGGATAAGGACCTCGAAGGAAACGGTAATTTTGTCGCTTTGTGGGGCCACTCCCCTCGGCATTAGTCAGGACACCGGCAGCTGTTCCGCAGCACAAGTTCCGATTTTTTTTCGCCGTCCCCAGTCTTTAAATCTTCTGCCGATGCCCTGTGCCTTCTCAGCGACGTGCACGCTCCGAGGGGAAGTGAGAAGACCCGCTACGCCCTTTGCTACTACTGAAATAAAAAGATCTAAGACGCATGTTGGTAAGCAGGTCATTACTGAACAGGGGCCGTTTTTTCGCGTTAAATTAACGTGTGCATTATGTTTGTAATCATGTAAAACGTTAAACTTTTTCGTCATTTCGATAGATATACGTTTCCATTCATTATTTCAAACAAAGTACAACAGCAAAGGACTTAAGTTTACACGTAAATGTGCTTTTGTTGAGAAAGCAAAGCCCTAAAGGGGCATAATAACGACTGTTCGATGTTTTGATAGTCGAGATAATCTTGTTTCTTTCTGAACTGTTGTAACTGAAGAAAAGTATAATATTTTCGAAACTTTACGATTATACTTTACCAAAACCATTAAGATACGCTAAAGACGATTAAATGCTATGAATACATCCGCAAGATATCCACAAATAGCCTGAAAATGATGTTATATAAGGGTAGCCAACCAAATTCTTTTGCAAAATGACTTCCAAGAGGATTACCCCCATTTCATTGAAATTTTCTGCTGATTACAGGACTGACATGCACGTTTAATAAATGCAAATATTCAAGTCAAAAATTATCATAGAGACTCATGAATTATTTCATTTTCTTCAGAAAACAATGTAGTGTTATTTTCTTAATTAGTTTTCATACTTAGAAATGCCCCATTTTCATCTAATCACCTCATGTCAAATTGAATTATTCGGTTTTCCCTGCACTTTTTTCAGCCAATCGCTGGCCATGTTACAATGCGAAAGTATGACGTGGTGCTAGGCTATATCGTCAGACGAAGCGTAATTTCTCTGTAACTTTTTATCTCGGACATAAGATTCTTTGGTAATTTTTCTCTCAATACTGATTCAGAAATCATATAAGAGGAGATATTAGTGATTACTGCTTAATTATCTAGGAAAAGTTAGGTGGATCAGTCCCCGAGATATGACCAAACCATGTGTTGAATTAGGCGAAAAAACTAGAAAAGGAAACAAACCAAAAAAATGTATTTTTAGTAGCAATGCTTAAAAACATCACTCAACATAATGTCTTTTTTAAAAGAAAACACATTCGTTTTATGAGGTTTATTTTTCAAGTATGTAAAAATATGTGTATAAAATCTGATTACACATAGACAACTAAAAAAGTACTATGTAAAATATGTGCATAAAATCTGATTACATATATACAACTAAAAAAGACTATAATGTCACAGTGAAATGTCCAAGTACATATGTAGCACGTTTACAAAAACAGTTCTTTTTTTTAAAAAAGGACTTTAGGAAAAACTGTTACTGGTTGAAAAAATACAATAATAATTAAAAATAAAAAGCTTGATCAGTCTATATGTAGTTGCTATAGTTACCACTAAAACAAAAACAAAAAACTTTACTTGTAAATGGTCAAAGAGAATATTAACTATAGTACGGCCAAAATCATATAATTTATTGCCTAATAAGAATAGCACCACCCCTGTGATTGTCAACAAACATACCATATGTATTTGATAGCAGGATCCTAGATACTAAAATGCACGCATAAACAAGGCACTTATATAACTGTTTTAGGCGTAAAAATGTGCATATTCTTTCTTCCCTTCACGTGAACAGCAATGCTTAATCAAAAGGGAGTGGGGACCAATTTCGTATGAAACTCTGAGTATGAATTAATTTCCTTTGGATAAGAAATAACACTACCATTAAAAATAAGATAGTGCAAAACTGCCGTTTTTTGTTATCCCTTGTTGCGCATAAAGTCACCAATATCAAATATACATGTATTTGAAGTTAACGAAATATTGATTTTTTGCTTTTTAAAAATGCATTACATTGTATTAGATCTAAACAAATACTAATACTACAATATACTTGGAACTAAACTAATTCATAGTCAATGGGTATATGAACAGTTCTATAAAATGCACACACATTTTTTTTATTTAGAACACCTGTTTTTATTTGCAGACGAGAACTGGCACGTGCGCGTGATGTAATACGTCACTACTAACGGATCCAATAAGCGTTCTCCGTACTTTCCCAAGACCACGTGACCCTATAACGATAAGTGTGGCGCCCTCATCTTGCGCCATTTTGCAAAGAGCATCTCCTGGTTTTCCTCTGTCTGTTTTGAATTTTCCTGAAAGCTATAAGATACGAGAATAAAAAACATGCATGATTTAAGTTAGTGATACTTTTCTAAAAAAAGCTCTATCTACCGACAGAGTAAATAAGTATTTATAATGAAGTATTGTTTTACATATAATGACAAATAACCCTACAAATGAGTTGCAGTAAATATAACGTAAACTTATAACCATTTCCAGGAGACCTTAATTTTTTTTTAAATCATTCGACAAGCCTCGTTACCGCCCAATGGACGAGTCCCCTCTGGACTGATATTCCGATCCGAACCACAACATATGACAGGACATTATTATTACAACTTTTGATAGACATTTTAATGCATTTAAATCTCCGTTCTTAAGTTTTTCTTCTTAATTGTCTTGATACTTAAAAAGGACTTAATTATTTAAATCTTTTTTATCTGCACGTGGTTACATAGGGAGGTGGGTAGGGCATTACTCTTAAAGTTGATAACACCGGCCCTAACCTAAACTCGCCCACAATATTTTCGAAAAAAAAACAACAAAAAAACACACACAAAAAACCCAACAAAAAAACCAACAACAACACAAAAACAACAAAAAAGAACAACAACAAAAACAACAAAAAAAACAACATAGTGCTTATTAGCACAAGTTTCGATCGTGACTCGAACTTTTCACAATTTAAGTCATTCACCAGACGAACAAAACAGGAGTGAATGGAAATTTATGCTTAAGAGCCGAGTTAATATACTTATTAATGTTAAAACGAGGAAGGGGAATTCGATTATTTCTAGAACTACATTATATGCGATTAATCTAATGCGTAATTCTTGATTTGTATGTGTATATAGTACTGAATATCAAATTAATTGGATTCATTAAAAAATATACATATTAATGTATATTCCTTACTTCCAATTGTCTAACGTGTACAGATAAATTATGTCAGCGGGGTAAGTGAGACTAGTGTTTACAATTCGCCTATCACCGCACTGTGCCTTGGCCAATCGGTTGGTTTTATTAGTGCCGGGGCTTTCAGCGTTTTTTTTTAAATGACTCTTCGCAGAACGGAACTTAAACCAAGGTTTTGCTAATCTAAACAAAAGTCCCTGCTAATCCACGAAGCTGTGTGGATGGGGCGTTGTTATAACTGACTAGTATTTGAAATTCAATATTTGCAAATTTTTGATAAGATAAGTCGAGTGCAATAATACTTACATTGTGTTCAGTCATTTTCTGTTTGTACTTTTCTTCAACCTTATTGCATTTGTCCGATTCTTCCTTTAATAATTGCTCAATTACTCTCGGACCTTTAATGTAATATAATATCTGTAAACAGCTTTTGCTTGAAATTAATTATTTATCATAATTATTATGATTTATAAGTACGATAATAATTGGGGCGTCAGGAAGGTCCAATAATCAATTTTGTCAGGGAGTCCGGATTCATTTTGTTTGCCAGGTGATAATTTTAACACAAACTGAACTAAAATGAACACTTTTGGTGTCCGTTGTCCTAAAAGAAACTCAACTGAGGTCCAAAAGCCTAAGTTCTTAAAACAGACAGATGTACAAAAGACAGTAAAGAAATATATTCAGAAATAAATTGAAAATCGTATTTTTGTGCTGTAATGCAAAACTATGTTATTTTAATAAACAAAAGTTAAAGATGTGCCAAAACATCTTAAAACTATGGTAGCTGATTTGGTACGCTTTTGTGCGTCTAGTTGGCGCTAGCGACAACAAGACAAAGCGACAAACGGCGTTGCGGACTTTCGTCAAACGGCGCGTTATCGTGCGGCGTGTTGTCGCGATGTCACATTGTCGCCCGGTTCAAATCGAAAGATTTGCTTATAAGCCAAGCCATAGGGCGACATCGCGACAACGCGCCGCACGACAACGCGCCGTTTGTCGTGTTGTCGCTAGCGACATGACGACAAGACGAAAGTCCGACAACGCGCCGTTTGGCGCTTTGTCGTGTTGTCGCTAGCGCCAACTACATGCACAAAAGCGTACCAAATCAGCCACCATATAAAAACTTATATGTACATTGGTGATCATTACTTACTTGCAAACTCAAAATTGTAAAATTCTGGTATATAACCCAAGATCACATTGTCACCCTGTCTCCAAACATTTTGTACATAATCTGAAATCATAGAATAACTAGTGATCATTGATCATTTCAATATATAACAGCTTCTGAAAGTTATAATCATACAACAGCTAGTGACAGTTATAATAATACAACAGCTATTGACAGTTATAATCATGCAACAGCTACTGATAGTTATAATAATACAACAGCTATTGACAGTTATAATCATGCAACAGCTACTGATAGTTATAATAATACAACAGCTATTGACAGTTATAATCATGCAACAGCTACTGAAAGTTATATTCATACAACAGCTATTGACAGTTATAATCATGCAACAGCTACTGATAGTTATAATAATACAACAGCTATTGACAGTTATAATCATGCAACAGCAAGTGAAAGTTATAATCATACAAGAGCTAGTGAAGTTACAATAATACAACAGCTAGTGAAGGTACAATCATACTGGAGCTGGTGACAGTTATAATCATACAACAGCTACTGAAAGTTATAATCATACAACAGCTATTGACAGTTATAATAATACAACATCTATTGACAGTTATAATAATACAACAGCTATTGACAGTTATAATCATATAACAGCTAGTGAAAGTTTTAGTCTACGACAGCTAGTGAAAGTTATGATCATACAACAAAAAGTGAAATTTATAATCATACAAAAGATATTGAAATTTATAATCATACAAAAGATAGTGAAAGTTATTATCATACACAAGCTAGTGAAGTTATATTCATACAACAGCTATTGACAGTTATAATCATGCAACAGCTAGTGAAAGTTATAATCATACAAGAGCTAGTGAAGTTACAATCATACAACAGCTGATGGCAGTTAACCATACAACATCTAGTAAAAGTTATAATATACAACAACTGGTGTAAGTTATAATCATACAACAGCTGGTGAAAGTTATAATCATACAACTGCTAGTGAAAATTATAATCATACAGCAGCTATTGACAGTTATAATCATATAACAGCTAGTGAAAGTTATAGTCTACAACAGCTAGTGAAAGTTATAATCATACAACAAAAAGTGAAATCTATAATCATACAAAAGATAGTGAAATTTATAATCATACAAAAGATAGTGAAAGTTATTATCATACACAAGCTAGTGAAGTTATATTCATACAACAGCTGATGACAGTTAATCATACAACAGCTAGTGAAGGTACAATCATACTGGAGCTGGTGACAGTTATAATCATACAACAGCTACTGAAAGTTATAATCATACAACAGCTATTGACAGTTATAATCATACAACAGCTACTGAAAGTTATAATCATACAACAGCTACTGAAAGTTATAATCATACAACAGCTACTGAAAGTTATAATCATACAACAGCTACTGAAAGTTATAATCATACAACAGCTACTGAAAGTTATAATCATACAACAGCTAGTGAAAGTTATAATCATACAACAGCTAGTGAAAGTTATAATCTACAGCAGCTATTGGACGTTATAATCATACAACAGCTAGTGAAAGTTATAATCATACAGCAGTTAATGGCAGTTAGAATCATATAAGAGCTAGTGAAAGTTATGATCAAACAAGAGCTAGTGAAAGTTATTATCATACAAAAAGTTATTTTCAAAACCTCATTCATGAGACATTCTTAAAAAAGATATGCGGTGTTTTCGAAATGTTTTTTTTAAGACAGTCCATGTACATGTATATTAAATCAACGCACAGCTAGACAGTAAGGGACACATCTTTAAGGTCATGTTTCTTTTACTTATAGCTCAAAGTTGAAACTTTATCTTCATTTGCCAGTTTCTTTTGATTTGCTTTGATAGTATAATGTTGCAATTTAATGTGCAGATGTTGGACGAAAAGTCTAAATACGCGTGTTAGTAACACTTGTTTTGTTATCAAAAATTATTTAATTTCACATTCAGAACACTTTGCCAGTCACCTCATTCGCCGATCTGGAGGGTCGAGAAGCTACGATTGCATTTTTTCCGTAGAATAACTTAAGTAAGCACAGAACCCAATATAATTTGTTTTTTTAGTTTCTAGGGGTCGAAAACTATTTTAATTTCTTCTTTGTTTTTGTAGCTAGAGCCAATGCTTTGATTTTCATTTTCCGAACCACTTTCTTTTGAGAATTATTAATGAACATATCAACTGTAAGAAGTGTTTAGAAACAAAACATTCTTATTCGTTCCAAACACAATGACTGCTTTATTTAAGAAATAATATATCCCAAACTGATTTTATCGCTAAATAAAATCACTGTTTGGAGTTCGGATGCGAGAAATTGTATCACGAGGGCGTACAAAACGAGGTCCTAACCTCCAAAGCGAGGTCTTATTCTACAATGTGAAGTCCTAACTTACAAAGCGAGGACTTAACCTACAAAGTGTTGATTTATCCTACAATCGAGGTATTTATATACAAACCTACGAAGTGAAGTCTTTACCTACAATGTGATGTCTACGAAGTGAAGTCTTAACACAACAAAGTTAGATATTAACCAGCAAAGCGAGGTCTTGACCTGCAAAGCGAGGTATTAAACTACAAATTGTTATTGAAACCTCCCAACATATCACACATCTGGTACAAAAATGTAAGTATTCATAAAAAAAGTTATGAATATATACATGTATGTTAATCGTACTTGAAGAAATATTTGAAAAATCTCAAAATAATGGTACCTGTTTTTACTGATAATGCAGAATCTTTTTTTTCTTCTTTTTTTTTTTGAAAATTTTCTCTCTTTCTCTCTCATTTATATATTAGATAATATGTTAATATTTTATTGAGATTCATTTAAATTAATGAATTACAGGAATATGTATATATTAAATATAATCACTTTTAAAAAGACTTTTACATTTATAATGATGCGTTAAGTAAATCAAGTAATTGGTAGAAATGCATAACTTTTATTTTTCTAGGGTATCTTTAAGAAAATTATCAGATATTTCCACTTTAAACTAGATTTAAGAGCACACGCAAACACATTTAATATTGTAATATTATGCAGGTTCATTAAACTATCCAGGTAGAGTACTCAAGGAGAACTTATACATCTTCATCTTCATTTGCATGAACAATTTCTTTTACTTGACTTGGGCAATGAGTCATCTGCATGTTGAAACTGTCACCATATTACCTATACAGCAGTAACATGTTAGCCCTAACTACGAAAGACCGATGGTGACATTTCAACTTCTAGAATTCTCGGGTTCATCTTCACGAATTCTCATCTATCAATTTCATGAAATCAAGATTTATACTTCATGAATACACGATTTCGACTTCACGAATTCACGATTTCAATATCATGAATTCACATTTTAAACTTCAGGTTTTCGACTTCGTGAAATCACGATTTCAACTTCGTGAAGATCATATTTTGAATATGTGAAGTTGAAATCATGAAGTTCAAAATATGACTTCATGAAGTTGAATTCGTGAACTTGAAATCGTGATTTCGTGAAGTTGAAACCGTGAATTCATGAAGATGAAATCGGGAATAACAATCCTTTCTTCGTGAAATGTAGGTTGGTTGATGTATTTTCTTTCTGGACGCCTTACATATTTGTTTTGACCGAAAATGTGTACGTGCATACACATAATACTAAGTGTTATAAACAGTGTATGTATTAAAATGGATATATTAAGTTCACAGTCTGATTCACAATTGAATCGTCTCAAATGAATATGTTTACAAACCCATGGCATTGACGGGTATAAAAGCTTGTTTTTATGGCCTATTTTAAGTAGTAAAACTATTCAGCCATGCCCAGTTCAATTATTTTGCGCGACAAAAGTTTCTTTTATCAAGATTTCAATCCTGTATCATGGGTAATTGAAAATGAAGTAAATCTTATACTGTAGTAAACCTGTTTTATCCGCAAATAACAACCGGTTCATACAAGTAATTCATTAAAAGAAAGGTGGAAGACGGATGATCATGGGCATCTTGTTGTTAGCTGGTTGTTAACCAAATAGGGTCGCACATTATTAACAAAACGGAACTGCATGAGGGAACCTGAGAATGGCACCGTAATGCATTTTAATTAGACAACTGAACAGAAAGGTTTTTTTGAATTCATTTCTTTGAAAGTCGTTGCACAACAACCACGCCCAACGTTTCAAAACGATAAGTCCATGATACTTAATAGTTTGATCTTACTGAAAAAGGCGGGGTCTCTTATAAATGGACTCGTCCAGTATTGAACATGGAATAGTCCATTTATTGTAAATTCAGTTCATTCCTTAAATTACACAAAAATGTGTGTGCAAACTGCAAAACTTTATACACTAGCGTTGTGTCTTACACTGCATATTGACCATTTCTTTCTAATATCACATTAAATTACTAAGACGCGTGTTTTGGCAGTTACTTAACATGTATGAATCAATGAACTTTCATTAACATGCACGTTGCCCTGATAGGTGGATCGTGCATTCATAATATTTTCATAAACAAGTTTCGTTGGATCTTAAACAAACTCATACAAAACTGATATAAAAATAGTGCAACTTACATTCAAACGCTCTTTCTGCAAATTCACTTGCATCAATACACACCAAAACTGACCGGCTTCCTCCCGACATCCCGAATAACTTTTTTTGTCAATTAAACGAATAAAATACCACACAAATTACATGAAAAAATTGTTTATCTCTCTTTATTTATACTTTATTTTACGTTAAATATATCTACACCGTTTTATTGAAGGACGTACGTTTTAAGATCCTATTCAGTCGAATTCACACGGTAAATATGTTCTTTCTTAAGGTATTCATTACTAACTAGTGTAGCATAACATTTCGGTTTTATCATGACTCTCAAAGTCAATCTTAGTGTCCCTTGGTTGTTTTAGTCGATTTAATTGCTTTAAGTTAAAATTCAGACCTAAAGTTAAATGCTTTAGGCCATTTGTCCAGTTTCATTTACTTGTGTATCTTATATTTCGTTGGCTTAATTAGCAAGCTGGCAAGTTTAAACACCTGAAATAACCTTCAGTTTTGACCTACATAATGCATTACTGAATTTAGTAATTGTGTCAGTTACATGTAGGGCAAAAATGTATTTATGTATTTTTGCTGGATTGTAGTGTACGCACCTACTTTAATAATATATGTTTATTGAATAGTCTGGTCGTTGTCTTTCATCTAAATAATTTGTCAAATAATTGTATATTATTGTCAGAAAAAAGGTATGTGTCGACAAATGCATTTGAAATATGCATAATCGACCAAAAAATAGCATTTTTTACTGTTGACCATTGGATTAGCATATTATAATGTCAACCATTGTCTTAAAATTATATGATATTGACCATTGCATTAGCATTTTTACTGCAGACAATTTCATTTGCATACTTCAGTATATTATGCTGTCGACCATTCCAGTAGTATTTTACACAATCCCCTATACTATTCACGTTTTAGTGTCGGCCATGGCGTTCATTTTATTCTGAAGACAATGCTTTTGCATTATACAATATTGACCATTACTTTTGCATTATATACTGTCGAATACTGCATTTGCATTACATGATGTTGACCATTGCTCGCATTAGCAGTTTATACTGTCGGCCATGGCATAAGCATTATATACAGTTCACTATGTATGAGCATTTTATGCTGTTGACCATTGCATTAGATTATATACTATTCGACCATTGCATTAGATTATATACTGTCGACCAATGCATTATCATTATATACTGTCGACCATTGTACGAGCATTATATGATGTTGACCATTGTATTACATTATATACTGTTGACTATTTCATTAGATTATATACTATCGACCATTGCATTAGCATTATTTACTGTCAACCACTTTATGAGCATTACATGATGTTGACCATTGCATTTGCATTATATACTGTCGGCCATTGCATTAGCATTATATATTGTCGACGTTGCATTTGCATTATATACTGTCGAACATTGCATTTGCATCATGTACTGTTGACCATTGCATTAGATTATATACTATCGATCATTGCTTTAGCATTATAAATTTTCGACCATTGCATTAGCATTTTATACTGTCGGCCATTGCATTAGCATTATATACTGTCGACCGTTGCTTTAGAATTGCATGATGTTGACCAGTGAATAAGCATTATATGATGTTGGCCATTGCATTAGTATTATATACTGTCGACCATTTTATACTCGAACACTGTCTATTCGTATGCAAGCATTTTCTATTAAAACTGTAATGGTTCTGCACCCAGAAATAAAGAAACACAGATACAACTATACAAAACTTTTTAATGCAGTAAATATATTCTGAATATGATATTTATAAATCTCTACTACGTAACATTATATGAACAAATTCATGTTAAATAAAATGATATGAGCTACATGTTTATCTACAGATCATGAATAACGTCATGCGAGATATTGGGTTGACTTTTACATGAAGGAATAATGATGAATTTTAAATTTTATATAATTCTATTGTATATATTCTAGCACGAATTTGATTTTAAAAAGCTTTTCTGTTTTAGTGACGATTAGGCCGATCAAAAAAGATCTGTTCAGATCAGAAATGTAAAAATTGGGCGTGTTTTTGTCCTAATAATTTCTTTAACCCTCGTCAAAAAGGATTACGACACCAAATGCAAGTACATGTATAACAACCAAATTAATAATTTTTCACAAAATCGAGACGCTACTCTCCTTTGTGTTAAAAGAGTTAACAAAATAAGAAATGCTACATTTGTATTATAATTATAAAAGCGATGTATTTTTTTAACTTAATGTTTTATTTCCTGATGGTGCTTTGATTCAACATCAGTGTCTGCAGACGAGAACTGGCACGTGCGCGTGCTGAACGATGTAATCGCTTACGGAGCCGAGGAAAGTCCTACGAACTACACCGAGTCCGCGCGTGCCCACTACGATCAGTTCGGCTTTCTCGTGTTTTGCAATATCGCAGATGACTTCACCAGGTTTTCCATGTGCCGTTTTAAATCTTCCGTTACACTGTAAAAGATATGAGGCAAAATGTTTAAATCAATACTAAATTCTGACAACAGTCCATACATATATTTTAGATATCAAATTTCCATACATATATTTTAGATATCAAATTTACATACATATATTTTAGATATCATATTATTTAGAATGATTATTTAACCAAGTCCAAGCGGCCAAAATAAAATTCATTCAGAAACAAGTTCACAGCTTACCCCGTGGTTTTCCATTTCTTGTGTGTACTTTTTCTCTATCGCCTCGACATTTGCTTTTAATTCCCTTAAAGCCTTGTCAGCAGTAGTAGGGCCTGAAATATAACATAAATAAATTTTTGATGAGATATATCACAGGTGCTCGTCCAGTCTTGGTGCCCATATAAAAAAAAATGAAGTTTAAAAAAAAAAATGAAAAAAAAAAAAAATTAAAAAAAAAAAAAAAAAAAAAAAAAAATAAAAATAACTATTTTGGGTAAATTTGAAAAAAAAAAAATGGAATTTTTTTTCCTATATACCATTACTACGAATTTTTTTTTTTTTTTTTCAAATTTACCCAAAATAGTTATTTTGATGTTTTTTTTTTTTTCAAATTTTTTTTTTAAACTTCATTTTTTTTATATGGGCACCAAGACTGGACGAGCACCTGTGAGATATATTGCCTTAAAGTTTCAATTTTCGCATAACTATGTCGCTTGTACAGTGGGGATATCGCTTATTATAAATATATTGCTTATTGTAAATGGAGTCCATTAAAATATATATACATGTCTATATATCAGAAAGAAGTCACAGTGTTATATTTACATTTATTATTCTCACCCGTGCAATAGACTTATTACAAAAACAAATTTTTTAACAAGTTAATGCGGAAAAAAAAGAAAGCGTGTGATATTTTAAATATACATTTGTTTACATATTTTTTATACTCACTTCCAAGTGAAAGGTCAAGCGAATCAGGAACATGTAATAGAAACACGTAATCACCGTCCTTTTTCACATCGTCTACATAAACTGAAATATTATTACATCATAAAGGTGTTGATGTAGCAGCATTTGAAAAATTAAAAGAAAAAAATGATGATACAAAAACAACCACGACAAAAACACACATGGCTGGCATGGAGATGATGACACACATACTTATAACGACACGGAGATCAAACCAGACATACTGGGACGACACGAAGATAATGACAAACATAATTGAACGACAGAGAGATAATAACAAGGGAGACAATAACACATATACAGGTCCTGACTTAAACGACACACACATAATAACACACACATACTGGAACGATACGGAGATAATAACATATACATATTGGAACGACAGGGAGATGATAACACACACATACTAGAATGACAGGCCTGGAGATGATGACACGCACATACTGGAACGACACGCAGCTTATAACACATACATACTGGAACGTTACGGAGATAATAACACATACATACTGGAACGATAGGGAGATAATAACACATACATACTGGAACGACACGGAAATAATAACACTAACACATACTGGAATGATAGGGAGATAATGACACACACACACACATACTGGAACGACACGGAGATACTATCATATACATACTGGTAATAACACATACATACTTGAACGACATGCAGATAATAACATTTACATACTGAAACGACACGCAGATAATAACATTAACATACAAGAAAGACAGGGAGATAATAACAATTACATACGGGAACTTCACGGAGATAATCACACATATATACTGGAACGACACGCGGATAATAACACACACACATACTGGAACGACACGGAGATAATACCACATATATACTGGAACGACAGGGAGATAATAAGGTTTTGGGATAACAATATGGTTTTTTACTTGTGTCCATATTATTATCGTATGGTAAAATCCGCAATGCTCTGCTTATTTCTGTTCTAGTTGAATCATTCGTTCAGTTTAAATCTCAAAATAAAATAAAATATACTTCATTTATATATAAATAATAAATAAAGTGTAAGCTTATAATAGTGGATATAGAAAAACTAATGAACGCTGAGCCTTATATACATCTTAAACCTTTAAGAATTTAGAACGCTGTTAACTATACTATTGTACCATGACATATAATTAGAAAATTTTAAATGGAGTTTTATACATTGCGTGAGTAACAGGGGCTATTTATTTTATTATAGTGTAATTGTAAACATCTCGAATTACAAGCGCAAATGTGTCATTGCCATAATAGGTCATTTCTCGTACGTTATGACAGTAGTAACAATAACATGTTTATGGTAAAGTTAACATATTTTCACATGTATATTTAAGTTTATGATCATTTTACAGATATAAGCAGTTAACAGTTACTTATTTTTTCAAATAACCTGTTTATTGATAACTTAAGGTGATTATTAATAGCAAAAGGTGTTTACTTACCGGTATGTCAAGTTTAAGATGTTTATTGAAAGTTTAATATATGTCTTTAGATGTTTATTGATAGCTTTAGATGTTAACTGATAGCTTAAGTTTTTTTTAATTGATAGCAAGCTTAAAACGTTTATTGCTAACTTAATATGTTAATTGTTAGATTAAGATGTTTTTTAATAGCTTAAGATGTTTATTTACCGGTATGTCCTTAGATGCTTAATTGATAGCTAAAAATATTTATTGATAACTTAAGATGTTTATTGATAACTTAAAATGTTAATTGATTACTAAAGATGTTTATTGATAACTTAAGATGTTTATTGATTATAACTTAAAATGTTTATTGATTACTTAAGATGTTTATTGATAAATCAAGATGTTTATTGATAACTTAAGATGTTTATTGATAACTTAAGATGTTTATTGATAGATTAAGATGTTTATTGATAAATTAAGATGTTTATTGATAAACTAAGATGTTTATTGATAAATTAAGATGTTAATAAATAGCTTAAGATGTTTATTTACCGGTATTTCCTTAGATGTTTAATTGATAGCTAAAAATATTTATTGATAACTTAAGATGTTTATTGATAACTTAAAATGTTTATTGATTACTTAAGATGTTTATTGATAACTTAAGATGTTTATTGATTATAACTTAAAATGTTTATTGATTACTTAAGATGTTTATTGATAAATTAAGATGTTTATTGATAGATTGAGATGTTTATTGATAAATTAAGATGTTTATTGATAAACTTAGATGTTTATTGATAAATTAAGATGTTAATAAATAGCTTAAAATGTTTATTGATAGATTAAGATGTTTATTGATAGCTTAAGATGTTTATTGATTATAACTTAAAATGTTTATTGATTACTTAAAATGTTTATTGATAAATTAAGATGTTTATTGATAACTTAAGATGTTTATTGATAACTTAAGATGTTTATTGATAGATTAAGATGTTTATTGATAAATTAAGATGTTTATTGATAACTTAAGATGTTTATTGATAGATTAAAATGTTTATTGATAAATTAAGATGTTTATTGATAACTTAAGATGTTTATTGATAACTTAAGATGTTTATTGATAAATTAAGATGTTTATTGATAAATTAAGATGTTTATTGATAAATTAAGATGTTAATAAATAGCTTAAGATGTTAATTGATAGATTAAGATGTTTATTGATAGCTTGAGATGTTTATTGATAGCTGAAGATGATTATTATTAATAACTTCAAATGTTTATTGATAACGTAAGATGTTTATTGATAGCTTAAGACGTTTATTGATAACTTAATGTTTATTGATAACTTAAAGATGTTTATTGATAACTTAATATGTTTATTTATAAGTGTAGATGTTTTGAATAACTTATGATGTGTATTAATAGCTACTGACAGCGAAAAATGTAAATTGAAAACTAAAAAAGATGATTATTAACAACTTCCTATTTAGGTAAACTTCAGATTATTACACAGCTGTTTATGTTAAATTCAGATTATAACAAAGAAATTAATGGTAATCCTCAGATGATTTAACAAAATCAGATTTTTCCCCCAGATGTTAAGCTAGTATAATACACATCTATCAATTTTCTCTATGTTTTTTATACTTAAACCTTAAATAATTCCACACTAACTTTAAATGTTACGTTAAACTTAATTTAAATCTTTATACTTACATTTAAAAGCTTTTGAAGCAAATTCACTATCGTCTACCGCCACAACAACAACCCGTTTGCCTTCTGACGAAGCCATTTTACCAGTTCGCTTAAACTTATAACAAAATCTTCCTACTAACTATCAAATTCTATGCACTTTTCAAAATTCCTATGTTATTTAAACTGCCTACCCGTTCTAACGATCTAGATTTAAACTATCATTCGTTCGACTGATTGCATAGTTGACTGATTAATGATACAAGATCTAACCTTCCATGATATTCTATCAAGCGTGAAATCCCTGCCATTAGGAAAAAAAATACATATATATATAAATATGTTTGTATTTTTCTCTGTCCCGCTAAAAAAATACTGAATTTCATACTTAGATGTCACTTTTGGATAAGAAAATTATTACTTTTTAAATGCAATGTGAATACATAGTTTAGTATTTTATTTGTTAGTTTATGACGGTAATTAGGGATCGTTCTAGAAATTACTCTATAAGGGGAAGTAATTAATGTATTACCGATAACAAAAAACTACAGCATTTGTTTCCCTTAACTCTTGTCAATCCATTTAGCACTTTCCTTGATGTGGTCTCACGGTCACTTAGAACCCATACGGTAGTTGCACGGTCACAAGTTATATACCCTTATGTCCTTGACATGTGAATGTGATCGCACGGTCACTAGTTACCCTTATGCCCCTGATGCATGTATGTGGTCACATGGTCACTTGTTAACCTTATGTCCTTGATGCGTGTATGTGGTCGCAGGTCACTTTTTACCCATATGTCCTTGATGCGTGTATGTGGTCGCAGGTCACTTTTTACCCTTATGCCCTTGATGCGTGTATGTGGTCGCAGATCACTTTTTACCCTTATGTCCTTGATGCACATGGTCACTTGTTAACCTTATGCCCTTGATGCGTGTATGTGGTCACGCGGTCAATCCATACTGAAACTTTCTAATCTGGTCCACATTTCTCTACGGAAGCGTCAAGGTGCTAATCTTAATGTTCTATAAATTATTAACTCCTATCTATGAGCTATTTTAGTCTTATTAGACCTATGTTGTTTCTAATTAAGAGTTTAAAAAGCCTAATATGGGTTTTCAACTCCTTCTTAAGAGAAACTAAAATCAAAATAAAGTTTTTCTAACTCTTACTACGTACAAAGTTCTAGTTAGTCTGTTTCTGTATAAACTCCAAATCTCAATAACATGCTACATTAGGGTCGTCGAGTGGTGGCGTTGTCATTGTTTTTACCTACTTATTATTATACTTCTTGGCAGGGTTCCGGGGCTGAAAATGTTGTTTGGTTGTAGTCGATGCACTGCCATGTCCAGTTTTGATGATCGCTAAAACTTTTCAGAGAGACCGCGATTATGGGCAGGATTGGAAGAGAATAAATTTGTAGCGTTAATATAGTTATACCATTATAAGTTTTTGCGTTGTCTAGCCGACCTATTGTGACCATAGTTAGCGCCCGAAAACTGCCATTGTGATACATCACACAATCACTTCAAACCCATAGATAATCAAAAGTATGTTTTCAGACCTTTATTTCCTATCAACAAATCACTAATTTAATGTGTCACAGTAGCACGACATACTAAATCTATACATTGAATGGTGGCGTGGCCGAATAGTTTACGCATCGGACTAGTAATTTAATGATTACTGACCGCATGGGTTCAAACCCTGTGAGGGGCAAGCCGTTTTTTCTTTGGGCAAGAAACTGCATCCATTGCTTAGTATACTGGTTGGTTCCAGGAACGGATTCGAGAGTGTTTCAATAAGCTTATAGCTTCAAACATAATCGAACTAAAATATATTTGTATGAGTTAAAAAATGTATGCAGCTAGCTTCCACTCAGGTGCCCGCTCTTGCCTGAAATAATACCCACCAGTAAAGCTGAAAAAAGTCGTCATATGACCTTAACAGTGTCGTGACTTAATAACAAAGACACATACCAGCTAAATCTACCAGCAGACTCTGTCAAAAACTTTGCATCGTGGGTGGCAACATAATTGCAACATCATTCGAAAAACAGGCAATAGAGAAATTACATCATGATTGGGGAAAGACAACTGAATATTTAGTGCATGAAAGGACATTTGAATCATCGGTAGTTAAGGACGGCTGCAACCTGAAGTGAAGCAGGGTAGGTGGTAAAAGCCAACTATTAGTCCATATGACAAATCGTATTATTAGATGTTTTAAATGGAATTGAATTTTCGATTTTATAATACTAGTCATTGCAGACTAATTACTTATGTTATTTTTTTCCTTTTGGCCAAAAGGTAAAATAATTAATTTGAAAATTGGTCAACATCAAGGTCTTTTTCTAAATATATTAATGTTGCTTACAAATTGAATCAGAGTTTTGATAACAACCAACCTATTGGATCCAAAATTTATTGGCCTTTGTAACCAGTTAAGAGCCAGGGCAGACTGCATATAATGGGTATTTAAAAGACAAAACGGTTTCTGTTTCTTTTAATACTATCTTAGCATCTGCATTTTAAACAGCCCCTCCCCCGACAATACACCCCATCCCCCTACAAAAAAAATCTAAATGTGTAACGCATGGCACCATCGTAGAAAGAGAACAATAATAATTTGGCTTATTTAATTTCTTTTATTTGATAAAAGCCTTGTGCATGCTATAAAAATAGAATTTAATGGATAACTACTAACACTTGGACACTAAAATATATATCAATAACATCATCAATCAACATGTTCACGCCTTTTTCTGCTGGTGTTTAGAAACATCTTCTTGTCTGCATACTAGAACTGGCACGTGAGAATGATGAACAACGAAGTCGCTTACGGAGCCGAGCAAAGTTCTGCGGACTTTTCCGAGACCGCGCGTGCCAATTACGACAAGATCGGCTTTTTCTTCATGTGCCAGTTTGCATATAACTTCTCCAGGTTTTCCTGTACTTGTCCGAAATTTCCCCGAACACTGAAGAAGAATGAAAGACAAAAGTTCAATATATGACAATCTTCAGAGAAAAAATTATACGGTGACAAACCGGGTAACATCGATAAGTTTAATGAAGTTAGTGTATGTTTGCCTCGACCTAATATCTAGTGATATCATTATCGAAATTGAACGAAACAAATATTTGTGAATATTTCTTTCTGCATAGGGAGTATATGCTGACGAAAACACTTTAAAGCGACTCCACTGAGGTGTATGACATGACTGGACTGGATTTACTTTTTTGAGATTTATGTTCCATTTAATGTAGATCTAGACCAATAACTTGTGTGCGAAATTATAGATTATTCGCCCACTCCGTTTTTTCAGAAAAAAATATTCAATATTCGATTGTTTCAATAAGCTTATAGCTTCCAAAACAATCGGACTAAAATAAATTTGTATACAGAAAACTAAATATTCTAGCTGTGAATAGCTGTCTAAGATTAAAAAGCGTTGTGCAACACTTTCAATTAAATCGGGCTAAGAATAGGACAAATACGATTTTCAATTCATTTATTTCTACATTTCTTTATTATCTTGTGCATACCTTTCCTTTTTAAGTGTCCCAACTAACCTATGAAAGAATTTCAGAATTTATTATTTAAGTCTGGCCCTCAGTGGAGTTCCTTTAATCTATTTTTTTCTCTCGTTAAAAAGTAAAGAAACAGCCTAGAGAACTTCGCAAATATATTAACACACTTTTAAAGTGTAAATAAAACAAAATACTCTTTGATTACGTATTTGCATTAGACAAACAACATATTTTCATTTGCATAAATTGCATTTTTAAATAATTTATTAGATCAAAATGTATTGAAATTTCAAATATTACGCTTTTGAGTTACAATATTTGTTTTTATTTATCATATCAACTGATGAAGCTTATTAAAGCGTTTTTTTATAAATTGTGTTGGATTTTTTGGTCTATTTATGCTATACATTTTTCTGTCAAATCTAGAATTACATTTTTTTTTTTTATAAAACAAAAAAACAACTATATTCATTTGTAGTTTTTTAAAACAAATTTTGACTGGAAAGAAGCGATTTGTTGCTTACTCCATTTTCCTTCATCTTGTCTTCGTATTTTGCTTCAAGTGCAGTTACTTTCTCTTTCACTTCTTCTAATATCTTATCAGCCGTTGCGGGACCTAATTAAATTGAAAAAAAAATATCTTTCAATTATCCAAGCCTTTATTTTGAATAGAAGCACTAAAATACACAATTCTAGTCACAGCCAAAGTTCGGATGAAAACCATGGAACGTTATCTAGGGTGATCACAACTAAATATTGCGCATCTTTCGTTCTACTTGAACTATTTTAATACTTGTAGTTATGAGTACGGATAGCATCTTAAAATACTGCTTTTCCTAATAATTATTTAACTTCATCATTACACTTTAGTATACTACGGAAATATTTTTGTGTGAAAGAAATATGTTGTGTTATCAATTCTTATAAAAAATAGTTTAAATAGTGAATAAAGGGACAGTAAGAAGTTATTGATGAGCAACCTATTCCGTGAATGGTATCGACCTCCTTCCAAAGGTGTGTTGGGTTCGAAACTTTCTGGGTATGCAACAATGTTTCCTTAAATATTAAGTACCACTCGAAAGCGGATGAACTAACCTCCAAGCATTTAACAATATCAAGCCCAGACACATCTGTTTTTAAAAGATATATAAAACACCATGTATAAATTGTGCTTGTATTTATTACTTTATAAATTCTTGCTAAGTGTATGGTGTACCTAAACTGATATACATGTTGATCTTTATTAATGTATACTACAGTTAAACCTGTTTAAAAGCCCGCCTCTAAATAGAGAATCACCATGCAACTATAAAGACCCATGTTTATAAGAACCACGTTCGGTCTCTTCTTTGGATGACCTATGTCCGCAGGTTTGACTGTAGTTTGCTTGTTTGTGATCTTGTATACTTACTTGCAAATTGTAAGTCTAACATTTCCGGAACATGCACCAGGCAAACTTTATCGTTGTCTCTTTTTATACGGTCGACATAGTCTGAAAAAAGACATTTAAGAGGGTGAAGAATTCATGAAATAAATTTGCAGAAATCGTACAATATAATAAGCTCGCCCGGAAAGTATTTATTTTTACTGGCCTTTAGAATACGTAAAAATACTATCATCTTTATCCCACTTTCGGGAGAAATTTTGTTTTGTAAAGCTTTGTTAAATTGTTTTCGGCATACTTTAAGAAAGTACCTTGTTTTTTTTTTTTCATTATCCAAAACTGGTGAAATACGTTAATTTTGTTTTAATAACGTAAACTGCATGTTAAATTTTTTAAATTTTTCTTGCTAGCAAAAGAAAACAATTTTGTTCACATTTATAGCAAGCATAAAAAAAATGTTTTATTAAAATTTGGTATTTTATTTAAAACACAAAGGGGCATAAAAAATTTGTTTTATTTTTGGATATTAAATTTTCCGGCCGTTTCCGTCAAACATCGAAAAAGCTCGGCGAGGTATTTCGAACGACAAGAAGGGGTTCTTTAAAATAAATTGTAAAAATTTTTTTTATTGGAGCGATTGTTTTGAAGTTAAAAAATGTAACAAGGGGGATCGCTTGAAAATTAAACATCAAAAGCCGCAAAAAAAATAGATTTTTCAAAATTTTTTATTAAAGAAATGAACCCCAAAGGAAAAGGTTAAAATAAACCCCTGAATGAAATCTTTCCGTATTTTTTTTTTCTTCCCCCGGATTTTAAGGTTAGGTTCACTTTATTTGCTTCTTTCCAATAACGGAATTTATGAAATAAATTTAAAATGTAAAAAGATAAGATTTAAAAAAATTTTTTTTTCTGGGAAAAATACTCCAGCGCAGGCTAATTTCCACAACGATATTTCAAGTATAGTTCAAGATTTATAAACATATTTTTCCTTAACTAAACTTTAAAATACATTTTCATGCAGATTTTACCTTTAAAGTGACAAATCTGCGTCAAACTTTCCTTTGTCCGTAGTAGAAGCAATTTCTCAAGAAATGTTCTTTACTAACAAAAAACAAAACTACTTCAAAATATCCGTGCTTAATTTCATTTCAGTATTTAATTACCTATTCATAAGACCTATGGAAATTTAAGAGAATGCATTGTAATGAAAGACTGCCTGAACCAAACAACCGGTTTTAGTCATTTGAAAGGGTGGTCTATTAAGGCAAGTTACAAATATCATCACGTGATATATGAAGGAAAAATAACTTACATTGAAAGGCGTCTGCTGCATGATTACTGTCATCCACCGCTACAACAACAACTCGTTTATTTTCCGACTTGGAAGCCATAGTTTTAAAGCCGACTATTTAAACATCCGTTTGGCTAGTAAACTGAACTGTAAATAATTTTCCTTTTCGAGGTTTAACTTACAAAAGGAAGTGTTTTTTAAAACTTATAAATCACAGAATACTGTCCTGAGTTATGCACGATATTTGTCTATCAGGTGTAATCTTTACAACCTATATGCACGGTTTAAAGCAACTAATTGCATAGCCAGCAACATTTGCGATTAAAAAGTACTCTTCCGTGACGAAACAATCATTTTTTTCTCCTTCTATTAAAGCACTGATACAGTACCATTTGAATTAAATTTCTGAATTTTAATCATAGATGCAAACTTCAAAACATTTAAACTGAGAGCAATATATTATTCAGCATTTTTTTTGGTGCAAAAGGGGAGATAATTAAGTGAAATAAATTACACATAATGGATTGTTTCCCTTTATTTTAATTTTGTAGGCGTTAATATAAATAAAACATCATTCTATAGATAACTTTTACTCGATGGATGAAAGACTTAAATGCATTAAATATTACAGCAAAATGAAACGCATCCTAAAGCACATGAACACATATCTGATTTTTGTAAAGTTAAAGGCCTTTTAAGTCTGATTTATATAAGGTTAAGCCTTTTTCTGTTGTTTTTCTTTCTGTTGTTTTTCTTTATCATCGTGTTTCCCTTTGGTTTCTTGTCTGCAGACCAGAACTGGCATGTCAGCATGGTGGACGACAAAGTCGCTCACGGAGCCGAGGAAAGTTCTACGGATTTTGCCGAGCCCGCGCGTGCCAATTACGATCAAATCGGCTTTTTCTTCTTTTGCAAGCTGGCATATTACCTCACCCGGTTTTCCTTGACCTGTTCGAAACTTTCCGTGTAACTGTGAATAAAAATAAATTAAATAAAACGACACTTAAAAGTTTCCATAGAAAAGTTTGTTAGTAACATTGCCTTTGAAAGACATAATAATAATAATAATAATAATAATAATACATAATAATAATAATAATAATAATAATAATAATAATAATAATAATAATAATAATAATAATAATAATAATAACTAGAACTCCGCGAGTCGGATGTGTCGCCTTGTGAACAATATAATTTAAGAGAAGTGACAAAGACCAAAATGAAATTTGAAAATCAACAAAGGGCAATAACTAAAAAATTAGAAATGCAGATCAGCAGTTTCTGTGCACTGCACTTCTTATCAATAAAATCTATCATCCTATTAAGTTTCAAGTCTAAAGCTTTTAAAATTTATGAGAAATGGCCTGGACAAAAAATAAAGTATGAACATTAACAAAGGGCAATAACTCAAAAAATAAGAAATGCAGAGTACCAGTTCTTGGGCACTGCACTTCTTCTTAATGAGATCTATCATCCTAATGAAGTTTCATGTCCATAGCTTTTATACTTTAGGAAAAAGGCCTGGACAAAATAAAGTATGAAAATAAACAAAGGGCAATAACTCAAAAAATAAGAAATGCAGAGTACCAGTTCTTGGGCACTGCACTTCTTCTTAATGAGATCTATCATCCTATGAAGTTTCATGTCCATAGCTTTTATACTTTAGGAGAAAAGGCCTGGACAAAAATAAAGTATGCAAATTAACAAAGGGCAATAACTCAAAAAATAAGAAATGCAGAGTACCAGTTTTTGTGCACTGCACTTCTTCTTAATGAGATCTATCATCCTATGAAGTTTCAAGTCCATAGCTTTTATAATTTAGGAGAAATGGCCTGGACAAAAATAAAGTATGAAAATTAACAAAGGGCAATAACTCAAAAAATAAGAAATGCAGAGTAACGGTTCTTGTGCACTGCACTTCGGGTCATTTTGAGAAGCATGCATACTAAGTTTGAAGTCAATCCGACAACGACGCCGACGACGACACCGACAACGACGACGCCGACGACGACAACGACAACGACGCCGACAAAAGTAACCCCTTTATGTCGCCTTTTTCAAGGCGACACAATAATAATAATAATAATAATAATAATAATAATAAAAATAATAATAATAATAATAATAATGACAATGACAATAATGATAACAACAACAACAACAACAATAACAATAATAATGATAATGATAATAATAATAATAATGATAATAATAATTCATAATAATAATAATACATGTAATAATGATAATAATAATAAAAATAATAATAATAATGAGAAGAAGAAGAAGAAGAAGAAGAAGAAGAAGAAGAAGAAGAAGAAAAAGAAAAAGAAGAAAAACAAGAAAGAAGAATAGTAATTATAACTGATGATTATGATAATAAAAAAAACTTTTTCCTTTTTAAGTGATTGACAATGATATAACACATAGTGACAACGTGACCTTGACCTTTAACGCGATGTCTTAAAATCAACATACCTAATTCATCTATTAGTGGTAACATGACCAACTTACAAATTGAATCTTAGAACTTAAAGGTCAAAGTATTCTTTTATTATTGGTCAGACAAGCTCTCGGTCAGTGGTCAAAGTCACGGTAATCTTCACTTTAACCTACTGAACAAAAATCATTACGGTCATTAACTAGTTACGACCAACCTCCTCACCAACTCTTAGTATTCATAAGTTTTTTTAAAAAAAAATCACAATTAATGAAAGCACTATTCGTCGTTAAAACAGAGATCACCCAAATTTAAAATGTGCGATTTCCAGAATATAGCTCCTTTTTATGGTGCGACGGAACGACTTACATAACGGTATTTGTGGTAACTAGTTAACTAAGTTCTATGAACTGGTTTTATTGTTCCCATGGCTAAGTTAATTGTTCCCACGATAAAGTAAGTTGGTTCCACGACAAAGTTAGATGTTCTTTGTTCTCACGACAATGTATGTTGTTCCCACGACAAAGTTCATTGTTCCCACGACAAAATTAATTGTTTCCACGCCAAAATAACTTGTTGCTATAACAATGTAAGTTGTTCTTTGTTCCCACGACAAAGAATGTTGTTCTCTGTTCCCACGACAATGTAAGTTGTTTTTTGTTCCAACGACAAACTAAGTTGTCTTTGTTCCAATGACAAAGTAAGTTGTTCTTTGTTTCCGAGACAAGATAGTTGTTCTCTGTTCCCACGAAAATGTTAGTTGTTCTTTGTTCCCATGACAAAGTAAGTTTTTTTTTTGGTCCCACGACAATGTAAGTTGTTCTTTGTTCCCACGACAATGCAAGTTGCTCTTTATTCCCATGACAAGTTAAGTTGTTATTTGTTCCCATGACAATGTAAGTTGTTCTTTGTTCCCACGACAATGTAAGTTGTTATTTGTTCCCACGACAAAGTAAGTTGTTCTTTGTTCCATTGACAATGTAAGTTGCTCTTTGTTCCCACGACAAATTAAGTTGTTCTTTGTTTCCGAGACAAGATAGTTGTTCTCTGTTCCCACGAAAATGAAAGTTGTTCTTTGTTCCCACGACAAAGTAAGTTGTTCTTTGTTCCCGAGATAATGTAAGTTGTTCTTTGTTCCCACGACAAAATTAGTTGTTCTTTGTTCCCATGGCAAAAAAAGTTGTTCTCTGTTCCCACGACAATGTAAGTTGTTCTTTGTTCCAACGACAAAGTAAGTTGTTCTTTGTCCCTACGACAATGTAAGTTGTTCTTTGTTCCAACGACAAAGTAAGTTGTTTTTTGTTCCCACGACAATGTAAGTTGTTCTTTGTTCCCATGACAAAGTAAGATATTCTTTGTTCCCACGACAATGTAAGTTTTTTGTTCCCACCACAATGTTAGTTGTTCTTTGTTCCCATGACAATGTAAGTTGTACTTTGTTCTCACCACAATGTAAGTTGCTCTTTGTTCCCACGACAAAGTAAGTTGTTCTTTGTTTCCGAGACAAGATAGTTGTTCTCTGTTCCCACGACAATGCAAGTTGTTCTTTGTTCTCATGACAAAGTAAGTTGTTCTTTGTTCCCACGACAATGTAAGTTTTTTGTTCCCACCACAATGTAAGTTGTTCTTTGTCCCTACGAAAATGTAAGTTGTTCTTTGTTCCCACGTCAAAGTAAGTTCTTCCCTGTTCCCACGACAATGTAAGTTGTTCTTTGTTCCCACGACAATGTAAGTTGTTCTTTGTTCCCACAACAATGTAAGTTGTTCTTTGTTCCCACGACAAAGAAAGTTGCTCTCTGTTCCCACGACAATGTAAGTTGTTCTTTGTTCCAACGACAAAGTTAATTGTTTCCACATCAAAATAAGTTGTTCCCACAAAATGTAAGTTGTTCTTTGTTCACACGACAAAGAGAGTTGTTCTTTGTTCCCACGACAAAGAAAGTTGTTCTTTGTTCAAACGACAAAGAAAGTTGTTCTTTGTTCCCACGACAATGTCAGTTGTTCTTTGTTCCCACATCAAAGTAAGTTGTCTCTGTTCCCACGACAAAAAAATGGTTCTCTGTTCACGCCACAATGTAAGTTGTTCTTTGTTCCCACGACAAAGAAAGTTGTTCTTTGTTCAAACGACAAAGAAAGTTGTTCTTTGTTCCCACGACAATGTCAGTTGTTCTTTGTTCCCACATCAAAGTAAGTTGTCTCTGTTCCCACGACAAAAAAATGGTTCTCTGTTCACGCCACAATGTAAGTTGTTCTTTGTTCCCACAACAAAGTAAGTTGTTCTTTGTTCCCACGTCAATGTAAGTTCTTCCTTGTTCCCACAACAATGTAAGTTGTTCTTTGTTCCCACGACAAAGAAAGTTGTTCTCTGTTCCCACGTCAAAGTAAGTTCTTCCTTGTTCCCACAACAATGTAAGTTGTTCTTTGTTCCCATGACAAAAAAAAATTGTTCTCTGTTCACGCGTCAATGTAAGCTATTCTTTGTTCCCACAACAAAGTAAGTTGTTCTTTGTTCCCACTTTAAAGTAAGTTCTTCCTTGTTCCCACAACAATGTAAGTTGTTCTTTGTTTCCATGACAAAGAAAGTTGTACTCTGTTCCCTCGAAAAAGAAAGTTGTTATGTGTTCTTACGACAATGTAAGTTTTCTTTGTTCCCGCGACAAAAAAGTTGTTCTCTGTTCCCTCGAAAAAGTAAGTTGTTCTTTGTTCCCACGACAAAGTAAGTTGTTCTTTGTTCCGATGACAATGTAGGTTGTTCTTTGTTCCCATGACAATGTAAGTTGTTCTTTGTTCCCACGACAATGTATTTTGTTCCCACGACAAAGTTAATTGTTTCCACGACAAAATAAAGTGTTCCCACAACAATGTAAGTTGTTCTTTGTTCCCACGACAAAGAAAGTTGTTTTTTGTTTCCACGACAAAGTAAGTTGTTCTCTGTTCCCAGGACAAAGTAAGTTGTTCTTTGTTCCCAGGACAAAGTAAGTTCTTCTTTGTTCTCAGGACAAAGTAAATTGTTCTCTGTTCCCACGACAATGTAGGTTGTTCTTTGTTCCCACGACAATGTAGGTTGTTCTTTGTTCCCATGACAATGTAAAATGTTCTTTGTTCCCACGACAAAGTAAGTTGTTCTTTGTTCCCATGACAATGTAAGTTGTTCTTTGTTTCCACGACAAAGAAAGTTGTTCTCTGTTCCCTCGAAAAAGAAAGTTGTTATGTGTTCTTACGACAATGTAAGTTTTCTTTGTTCCCGCGACAAAAAGTTGTTCTCTGTTCCCTCGAAAAAGAAAGTTGTTCTTTGTTCCCACGACAAAGTAAGTTGTTCTTTGTTCCGATGACAATGTAGGTTGTTCTTTGTTCCCATGACAATGTAAGTTGTTCTTTGTTCCCACAACAATGTATTTTGTTCCCACGACAAAGTTAATTGTTTCCACGACAAAATAAAGTGTTCCCACAACAATGTAAGTTGTTCTTTGTTCCCACGACAAAGAAAGTTGTTTTTTGTTTCCACGACAAAATAAGTTGTTCTCTGTTCCCAGGACAAAGTAAGTTGTTCTTTGTTCCCAGGACAAAGTAAGTTCTTCTTTGTTCTCAGGACAAAGTAAATTGTTCTCTGTTCCCACGACAATGTAGGTTGTTCTTTGTTCCCACGACAATGTAAAATGTTCTTTGTTCCCACGACAAAGTAAGTTGTTCTTTGTTCCCATGACAATGTAGGTTGTTCTTTGTTCCAATGACAAAGTACGTTTTTCTTTGTTCCCATATGTTGTTCTTTGTTCCCATGACAATATAGGTTGTTCTTTGTTCCCATGACAATATAGGTTGTTCTTTGTTTCCATGACAATGTAAGTTGTTCTTTGTTTCCACAACAATGTAAGTTGTTCTTTGTTCCCATGACAATGTAGAGTGTTCTCTGTTTCCACGACACACATGAGCTATATGGTTTTAAAGTGCATGTTAGCTTTGTCTAGTTTTAAAGTGCATATTAACTATGTCTAGTTTCAAAGTGCAAGGAATATTCAGCTTTTAACCAGAGATACATTACCTTGTTTTCTTGTATTTTTTTCGCACTTTTGTCTTCTATTATTTTCAGTTTCTTTTTTAAATCTTTCACTATAGAATCAACCGTGGCTGGACCTAAAATGTTAAAACACAAGATAAATAATCTCAACACGAATATATGTTGTCATTTCTACAGTAGTGTACCTTTATGTTTGAGATATTGAAAATAAACACGTTATCCAAAATACATATGAACAAATGGAATTAGCCCAAATAATGGAATAATCCAATAATCCAAACTTGGATTCTGCATCAAATAAAACAGATACAATCCCCGATAGTTTGTCCAAACTCTTTGTTTTTCTTTTATTTATATCTTGATTTTTGGGGACCGCAACATCATATTACACACCTAGTCATTGATGCAATATTATATTTATGTATATCTTAAAACATAGTCAAGTCCTTGGAGGAGGGGGGAGGGGTGAGCCCCTACCCTCGCTTTGGATCCGGTATATTGGATAATGGGCACAACACAAAAAAAGAAAAAAAAATGATACAAAGTTTATGGATTACGTGAAAGAGTATAGAGTAAACAATCAAATCCAAGCTATGTTTGAAATGTGAACAATTACGGGCATTCAAGTACAAAGAATTATCGTTGGAAAATCAAAGTACAGTGCACACATAACATACAGTTAGTCAATAAATCCTGGTGCCATATGTGTTGGATTGTGAACAGAAATTTTGTTAGCATTACAGTTATTTACAGATATAAACAGAAAATTTGTAGGCACTACAGATATAAACAATATTTATTTCAAGTGTTTTTACTTACTTGCTAACGTCAGATCGTAACTTTCAGGTACATTGACCAGACACACTGAATCGTTTTCTTTCCGCACGTGCTGAAGGTAATCTAAAAAGTAGAATATTACATAAATTAGGCAATATTATATAACTAGACAAACACCGATGCTGCATCGCCTCTGTGGTCGAGGGGTTAGAGTCGATGACTTCTAATCCAGTTACCTCTCTGGCGTGGGTTCGATCCCCGGGAGATGCTTTGGTAGTTTAGCGCGGAGGAAGGTTGTCTAGTACTGGTGTAACTCTCCAGGAACGATGGTTAGGAAACTACCCGCCTATATGACTGAAATACTGTTGAAAAAGGCGTAAAGTGAAAAAAACAAACAAACCGATGCTGCAGGTCCGTGCTCTTAACTATTTTGACTTAGTAGTTTATATCACGTGATTTCAAGGGATCAAGTACAGAAGTGCGAAAAACGGTGATGGTTCTTATTGCCCACCATATATAGCTGGGATTCTTTTTTCTCTACATTTCGACCGAAGATGTCACCGAACTGTGAAGTGGCTTTGTAGGACATCATGGGAATTTTAGTCATTAATGTTTCCCTTGTTTGTCGAGCTACTTGATGTGTATTTCAGGAAAATAAAATAATCATGAGTCACTGCGTTTAATGAACTTTAGTTGAGCAAATCAATACCATACAGCAAGCATCAAAGCATGCTTGTATTATTATGAAGCATGTTGTATGAAGAATAGTGATATTTTGAAATAAAACCCGCCATATCTAAACATTATTAATTATGATATAAATCGTGACGGAAGTACTTAGCATATGAATGTGTTATACATTGCAACCTTGTGCAATTTGTATTTTTGCTCACATTATATAACGAGTTGTTATATACATACATATTGTACAGTTTAATAAAGATTAAACGCTATATATAAATCAATTTGAACTTTGAACTTGTTTATCAATGCATCGGAAATGCCACTCGGTTTTGAACATAATATTGTAAAAGGTCAGATGAGGCTATTTCCGTACATGGAGACTTCAGAAGTTACATAACTTAAGTTCGTATAAGACACTTAAGTGGAGCGTAGACTTCGTTGATGACTTCCTAGATGAAATATTTCAAATAGGATTCGAACAATTTTATCCGCGAGGAGAAAATACGTTTTGAACAGTATTTATTAGTCAAATCAATCAAATTAAGATATAATAAACACGAAATAAAAGTAAATCCTATCAAACATCTGACTGTTTATAAACAATGTGCGTAATATTAAATAGCGTTTTCCTCATCACTTAAGTATTTTTTTTCAATATGATTATCCCTCAGAATAATATTATCTCAACGTGTGTAATGAGATATAAATATTTAAAGAAATGAAAATACTCACAGTCAAAAGCATAGTCCGAATGATCACTACCATCCGTAGCTATAACAACAATACGTTTTTCTTCCGGCGTAGCCATAATACTAAAATTCTTGAAAAGATGTTAGCGGAAGTTGATGTAATGAACAGTTAAATTCCAATATATGTATGTGTGTGTAATATCATCGACACTCTATCTGTAAGAAATCAAGAAAAAGCGGTAACGCAGACGAACGTTAACTTAAATGCATTCTCGCATAAAACGCAAACCCCTCCCTTAGTATAATCAATAAACCGCAACAAGAATAAAGTTGGACGTTTAAAGGCACAGCATGACTGATATTTATCTTTGCGAATTTTATGAAAATAATGCAAGAGTGAGTCATCGACAAAACAACAGGTGCGCTATTAATACGAGGCTTAATTTTTCCAGAATCGTGAGAAATTAAAACAGGCCGTAATAATTTATTTATTGCTGCTTTTATCAAAAGAATTAGACTTTACATTTTACAAAATGATCAATAATAGCGGTGTACTTTCTTTATTAAATTTTAATTAAAGCTTAAGATATTTAATTTTTTTTGAAGTCACGTCGAAGTATCGACGTTGTAAATGTCAATATGCATGTAATAACTTTTGATGGTTGACATCCGGTGTAATTCCATAAATAGTTTCAGAGCATTCTATTGATAGTTCCAGGGCATGAACCGACAAGATCGTAACATAAAAGAACCACTGGATAGCTTCATCATTAAACCTTGACGGGTTTCGAATCTACACAAATGGAGGAGCCACGAAGAGGTCTTGAATGTATTCAAGTACCATAACAAGAACACGAGTAAATCGTCATGTGCCTTTAACAATTTTTCATTTGAAATGTATAAATACCTGCCATTACAATATGAAAGGAAGTTAATTGAATGAGCGCCCACCTTCTTTAATTTATCTTATCATTCTCGCAGGGGGAGCTACTGAATTATTAATGATTAATTCAAATTTCACACGAGTTGTATCCCTGTAAATCGATATACTAATATAGAATTGTTGCGATGTGTTTACTTTATATATTCCTGTAAGTTTGTACTTAATATAAGGCATATTTTGTCACAAAATATTTGAAGGAAATAGTGTCATTTTAACCAGATTTGAAATGCACAAAAAAAGAGGAAACCCATTGAATTTCCATAATGATGAATATTGAATAATATTGCGTTAATTTCTCCACGAAATATAGCCCTATTATTTCGTAAACATGCAGACTAGCAAGTACAAATCACATTGTTAATGTCATTAGGGAATAGAATAGATTTAGTTTAGCGCTAACTTCTTACCAGTACTGATGATGATGTTGCATAGCATCTAACAACAAGAGATGTTCGTAAGACAGTTCGCCCGACTAGTCTTAGTGTTTGACAGTAGAGAAAGGCGCTTAACTCTGTAAAAAGGCAACTCAGACTAATGGGATATGTTCCATACATGAAAAGTAATCACAGTTTCAAACCATTTCCTTCAGTAGTTTTGGTGATACCAAATTGCATGCAAAATCTTAACCGGTGTGACAGCGACGCCGACACCGGGGCGATAATACTAGCTCAATATACTCTTCTAATAGCCAAGTTATAGCAATATAAAACTTTTTTTATAGACAAATCATTTTTTGCAAATTTTACATTAATATAGCTTCCTGTTTTCATCAAGGGAGATAACTAGTAAATATATTTGGGTCAAATATAAGACGCAGTTCAAGAGGGGCTTTAAATGTATTTCTCTTTCATAGAAAGTAATTATGTATACAACAGTTACTGTATACTCAAAATATTTTGAATCTTGTTAACAAGAAGAAATGAAGACATTTCAGTTGCAGATGTCAAAAAAGAGAAAATAAAGAAAAAAATAATACAAGACGATGCGATATTAATTTATTATATTTATTATATATTATAAATGTTTACAGACATAAAGTACACTCTGATTATTGGCCAATCTCTACAACTACAACACTTGTTAATATATGTATACTTAAAAATAATAGGTTACCATGGAAACAACAAATATTATATCTTTTCCCAAATCTTCTGAATTAGTTTTTAAAGTGTAAAGTCTCCAGAACAAATAATAAACAAATTATGAGTAATTAAAGTGTCCTTTAACAAACCAAAATGTTGATATTATTTTTTTTTGTTCTTTTGTTTTATAAGTGCGCTATTATGATGTAATGCTGAATAAATAATCCTGAGTTGAAGCAAATATTGCAAAAACGTTTTCATTAAACACAGTCGACCAAACTGAACATCAAACAAACTTTTTTCTGGCATACTTTCAAACTTAAAAATAGAGAAGAAATTGAAATCATTTGTTTTTTTACATTGTTTATATATGAAAATTAAATGACTTCAGAGAAACAAAAAAATGACCAAAAATGCCAAATCAAGGCTAATGCTAGGAAGAACGCACAGTGTCTCATAACATAATCTATTACATAGATGTTTGATACAAAAGTACAAAAACAATGCATGACAGTGTCTTTTCATACGCTGTGTTTTATCCGTTCTCTTCTTTATTTTAAACTTGAAAAAATCTTCACTGTTTTGGATCAACCTATTTTCATTTTTTTTTCAGTCTCAGTGTCTGCAGACGAGAACCGGCACGTGGCAATGATGGATGACGTAATCACTGACAGAGCCAAGGAATGTTCTACGGATTTTGCCGAGTCCGCGCGTACCAACAATAACCAAGGAAGCTTTCTCCTCCTCGGCAAATTTACATAGAACTTCACCAGGTTTTCCTTGTCCAGTACGGAATTTGCCCGACAACTGAAATAAAATAAAAGATTCTTTGGCAACATTGTCACAGTATATAATATGCTTCCAGATGTTCCACCCGACCTCGGAGCAAGAAAATGAAGCGCTTAAAAAGATTGAGAGATTTCCACTACAGTACACACCAATTACACACAAAAAAAGCCAAATTTTCTCTTAAATAAGACAAGTCAGCTTGCTAATTAACGGACAGGATCATTCTTAAATGAAACTCCGGAAACTTTCCTGAAAATCCAATATCATCTTTTGTCGCGACAATCGTTAATAATTACATCCGCTGCCTATGGTGGGCGGTAAGCGCCTTTTAACTCCTCGTGAACGCAAGAATCAAGCTTCGTTATTATGACAAGAATATCATTCATGAGCCAGAAAAAAGGAAATAACAAACAAAATGTACCTTAATTTGCGAAAACGAGACATAATAGCGAATATCAGTCCCCATATAAATTCTTGCAACCAGGACAATGACAAAAAATATCGCCTTCAGTTGATTATAACACAATTAATGTGAGATTTGCTTTACGACAAAGACTGCTATCAAATGTAGCAATAAATAGCATTTGAATTGTATCTGAGACAATTACACGAGATCTTAATGGTGATGATGCACTTAACTGCGGTCGTATATTACATTTTAGCCATTCTTCGCTAATAGTTTCCACAAACACTGCCCTGTATATATGTCCATGTTGAAACATAGCATATTAATTTATTTATTTCTAATAACACGAATTACTCACCTTAAGGCCTTGCATCTTTTGCTTATATTTACTCTCTAAAGCTTTTACTTTTTCTGAAAGTTCTTTTAAGAGTTGGTCAACAACTGCAGGGCCTGAAATCATGAAGAAAAAAAAACATCATTGCAACTTTTAGGTGGGCATATGTTTAACGTGAAGGTCGTATGGCGGTATATTTAAATTTTGACTTTCACGAGAAAAGAAATACTTTAGATGTCCCACCATACTTTATTTCAGGCATGAGTTGGCACTCAAAGGGAACCATCAGCCTTTGGTAAGCTAGCTGAATTGGTTCCTCCTCGCAACAATCTGTAGCGGGACTCTAACCCACAGCAGTGAGGTTTGATTCCATATAATTTATAGAGCTTACTCATTAATATATAGATTACCAAAGACGAATTAATGGTAAACAAAATGGATAATTTATTCGATAGTATGATTGAAAACGTACATGTATATTACTGAATTGATAACGATTCGCCTCACCGACGATTCGCCCTAATTCGCTCCAATATAGTCATGATTCGCCCTAATTTAGTGATGATTCGCCTCAGTTAAATGACGATTCGCCCCCACTTTGTAATAATAATCATTATTCATATTAGACATGTCCTCGTTTTTATGTATATCCTAGTATTATATGCAAATTCGGTGATAAATTCATCGGTTGTCAGAGTTTAAACACTATTGAGAATACAAGGTCAGGCTATTTGATGTTTGACCGTATTATGATAACAGTTATGGTTAAAGGTTAGGTATACTAGTATTAGCTTCGGAAGAATTCGGATAGTAAGTCAACAAATATCTTCCCTCTTTATGAAAATCTTGTAAAAACTGTATTAAATATGATTTATATTTGTACTGCATTGTTCTGTTACCGTTAAGGGAGTAACTATTTTGTATGACATATTTGCACACTATAGTATTCACACGATTATTGCGTTTGCCTTGAGGTTTTCTTCTTCATTTTACTTGCGAATGAATGGCGAATGACTGGCCAGGCCGGTCTATCCAAAAGATATTAAAGGGCAGGATAGACGGACATATACGTTTTCCTAAAGATCTTCCACAACTCAGCTTGTTATATTGTTAAACATTAAGCCTCTCTTAAAGGAGAATCATTTTTCGAAGCAGGCTGAGTTCTATCCATTGATACATTTTTTCTGCATGGTATGAAATAAATGTATAGACTAAATGGTGTCTAACTTAGACATAGCAAATACTATATAGGACCGTTCGTATATGTATTTCAGGTCAGGTGACCTCTCACCATATACATCATTATTTCTTGTCGAAAATAAAATCAGACTTTAAATATTCAAAACTTTCAAATTTAATCCGTTTAATTGGGCAAAAATTTTTAAAAAATTTAAAATTCCCGTTTAATTTTAAGGGCGATTTCTTTTTAAATTTTCAGCCAAAGACATTTAAGGGGGTTTTCCAGAATTTTAAACCATTTGAGTTTTAAGGGAAGGGTAGCGAAAAATAAAATTTAAAAAATTTTTCATTTTTGATAAAATATGGTAAATGGGTCTTACGAATAAGACTGGAGAAGAATGGGCGCATTTTTAAAGTACAGTTTTCCAATTTGCATATCAAAGGGGTAAAAGCTGTTATTTAAAATAAAAAGAAAAACCCTTTTTATTTTTATAAAAAGGTTTTAAATTTTTTTTGTTTTTGTTTATAATTCTAGTTTTTCAAGGGGAAAAAAGTTTATAAAATGGGTTTAAGTTTGGGGTTTGTAAACATTGCTTTAAATTAATAAACTCGAAACTCAAGCTGACATTGAAACATTTGGCAGTAATTTGGTCGCTTATGTAAAAGAACATTATACTTTGTTTTATGGAATAAACATCACGTGACAGTTTTATCAAATACGTAACGAAATTTTATTATGCGTCACTGTTTTAACTGTTTTAATATGGTATACTTAAATATTTTAAAACATGGCTACATCATGGCTGACCAGTTGTTTGGCTCATCCCTTTAAAATTGTGGGCACTTTCAATTCAAGACACGTACAACCATTGTCCGGTTTTTCCATTGCACAGTGTTTAGAACATTGGTTAAAATAAACCATATTGGACATTTTGTGTTTGTATTTATTCTTATATCATTAAATCAAGACATATAATTATGGAAAGTATGGGGATAAACAAAAGTCTTCAGCATGTCTGTACTTTATCCCATCATTATTGCAGGAGATCAAGAGCTTAGGTTTGCATTTATTCTTGCTAGTCACCGTCGTATATATATATGAATTTAAATGATTTCATATGTCATGTGATATGCTTTATCTTATGTCACTACATCAAAATGTTATTTTCTCCCTATTCAATTTCATTTATAAAGTATCTAGCGAGAAACCAAACTTAAGAAATTACAATATCCTTGGAGTATTTGGCTGAATCAAATTTCTTGAGAACCACTCTAAAACCGGAAATTAAGCGTTCTTCTTGTTGAACATGTAAAACGTCGAGGACATTTGACTCCTTGGTCAATATCTTCGTATGATATTAAAATAGTTTGTCGCAGGAGATTTTTTTATGTCTTTCTTATACAAAATTTGTCATCAGCGTATTGATTCGGCTTCAAGTTATCCAAAAATCGGAACCGTAAGCCTTTTTAAATAGTCGGAAAAATTTTTTTGGAAAAAGGGTTTGCTACAGAAGCAATTTAGACAAAAAAATAAAAGGGTTCAAATTTGGTATTAAGGGTTGATAAAAACCAAAGATGAAACAATATAAAAACTTCTTTTTTTCCCATTTTTTAGGACTTATTTAAATTCAAATATTAAAACCAGAAACGTACTCCCAAAAAGTTTCCCTTTAGCCCAAATTTTTGAAGCCCCTTTAATAACAAAATTGGCTTAATAAAACCTGTCTGAGCACCCTTTGTTAAAAAAAATTTAATTTTAAAATGATTTTTAAAAACCCAACCCAAAATTTTATTAAAGATAATTTTTCCCAGTAATCAGGGAAAATTTAAATTTTTCAAATATAACCCTGCAAAGTTACCTATTCGTTTTTGAGTAAACCCAAAAAAAAAAAGGGATTATGCCCTTTTTTCACAATTAAATTTGTGTCTTGTAAATAATAATCCCTTTAATTTCAAAAAAATCAATGGGGGAAGGTATAATAAAATTGATTACCAGTTTTTAAAAAAGCTTTTGGCCCTTTCAATCCAAGGAAATTTTTGGTTTCCAGCCCCCTTAGGCACAAATTTTAATGCTATTGGGTGATTAGTGGGTTTATTCAAAACTTTACTTCAAACTTAAAATTTCCCCTTTTAAACAAAATAACATATTCAAAAAAATTAGTTATTTGCTAAATGTATTTCAAAATGTCCCTTAAAATTTTTGCGGGCCCTTTAACCGGCCCATGTTTAGGGGTAGGGATATAAAAATTAAAAAATGGTTTTTACTTACAGCCCGGACAGGGGAATTTTGATCTCTGGACAATGTCCCCGGTTTTTTAAAATCGTTTTCCCCCCCTCACTTTTACCAATTTAAAATGAAAAACAAATTTAAAAAAAGCTGTTTCAGGGTTTGGGCAGGGCAAGTTAAAACCCAAAAATAAATAAATTTTTCTGCCCTTTAAAGTTAACCGACTAAAATAAAAAAATTTTTCTTTTGCAAAGGCCCGTGAAAAAAAGCCATGTTTTTACCCGTAAAAAAAAAAAAAGGGTATTTTACCTGCCTGAATGGCTAAAAAAAGCCAAAAATAAGTTTAAATTCCCGGCCCAAATTCAAGCAGATACGTAGAAAGCCAAGGTTCTTACAGGGAGCAATCGGGACATCTTTGGGAATAACTTATAATAACCGGAAAATTTTACGGGAAAAGGGGGGGGAAGATGCAATTACCCGGCAGAAGTTATTGGGGACCATTTTTTAAAATTGGGGTTTTAAAAAAACCCTTTTTCCGGGAGTTGAATTTGATTTTAAAAAAATTCTAACAAACGGAAACTGGCGAAATATGCCGAATCATCACGAGCATTCGGAATACCTCACCAAATATCCTTGGTCTTTTATAGAATGTGACAGAAAGGTTCGTAAATAAATTTGTCATTGGCGCTTTTGATGAATCTGTTATTTTGAAATATAATTTCTAAAAAAAATCTGCCAGAGGGATTTGTCAAGCGCAAAGTTCATCACTCTTTCGGAACACCTCGACAATCATCCATAATCATAGACCTTTATCCGAAAATTGACGGAAAAGGCCGTAAAGTTGCGATTGTTACTCGATAAGATTAAGACATTGCGGTGCCGAAACAAGCAATTTCCGCTTTTTCCAAACTTCTATTTTAAATATAATAATCTATTCAAACAAAATAAATTGACATCATAAGTAACATATCTCGAAAACACGATCAGAAAATTCTTTCCTTTATTCCGACAGATTATACTGATAATGATGTTTAACCAGACAGTAATCGTTCCTGGAAACAATCAAGAACTTATCAATCGTGAAAGGTCTATTTATTTGATACATAACCAATTACTGTGTGACTTATAACATATAAATGTCTATATAAGGCTCATTCAGTCCATCTTATCATTTCCGCGTCTCAAGTTTACTTTTCGCGATTTGAACGATAAGCGTAATTTGCGTTTCGGGTTTCGGTTCACGTTTTTATTTCGTACTTTGATACCATTTAAAGAGTGATTTCTTCTCAGAAAAATAAGAAAATGATCAATTAACAGTGATTTCAAAAGCTTAATGAATATTCATAAAAACAGTTTGAAATATGTGGATTGCAAATCTTTAAAAACAAGAACATCTCCATTATTTCATCAAAAAATATATGTTGTTATCCGCTTTATTTTCATTTTGCCAGGGAAAAAATCTTATCGATACAGGTTGGATAATGGTGAAAAATCGTTTATCATAATTAAAGAGCTGTTGTGCCTCTTACTACATTACGCGTACGCATACAGAAACAAATTGCCGTGTTTAAATATTGTTAGTTTTACAATTACAGCTGTTCAACATGTCTGGTAAGACATGAAACAGATCGATTCAACAGGTTCGATTTTCTAGACATTACATAATTTATTTCCGGAATAAAAACAGTTGCTCATTTGCCAATACAATCTACGGTGTACCGTAGGGTCCATGTCCATTTGATAATGAAACAACAAATTGTCTT